TCAAACTGGCTCGCCAGATCAGCCTGGTTGGCAGCCAGTTCCTCAGCGGAAAAGTGGTGAGGCTGCTGATCAGAGAAGAGCTGATCCATCAGCATATCAGCATGTGAAGATTGCTGATCAGGGTTAACCTACTGAACAGGTTCTACATCCCGGATAGGCTCGGACTGCTCAGGAATTAGAGGGGCGGATTGGGAGGATGGGCCCTGGTCGGCCTTCCTTAGCCTCTTCCTTTTGGTTTTCTTCGGCTGCTTGGGAGGGGATGTTGGCGGCTCCTCATCAAAACCAACGGTAAAGAGCCTACTGTCGTCCATTGCTGGCTGTTCGGAATTAACTCCTTCAGATTCTGAGGATTCGCCTTGCCTAGGAGCTGGCAAAATAAACAAAACAAAGAAATTAGTACCGAGCGGTTCACACGTGTATGAACAAAAAGTTTTGGTCACACGGGAAGGACCGCCCGGACCATGGTACTTGGGTTTCAGTCAAGTAAGTCCAGGAATACGGGCAGTACCTATTCCGGCCTTGATTAGCCGTTCGGGAGTTAGGTAGGACATAATCTTGAAACAGCCGCCTGCCTCCACAGCAATGACATCTTTGCTGAGCTCCTCGGAGATGAATGGCTCGGGGGATTTAGGAGGAAATGCATTCCACTTCCTAGGAATTAGACCGTTCGGGATAGAAACAAAGAAAAACCTATCTTTCCAACCCTTAATAGAGGAAGGGGCGTCACAGAACAAAATATGACCCGTTCGGGAACTTACCACCAGAAAGCCATGGGACTGCTGGGGAATAACTGAAAAGAAATAGTGGAAAAGCTCTAGGGTAGGTGTGACCTTGACGCTGTGACAACGACAAATGAAACCAGCTATTGACCGATAGGAGTTCGGCATTATTTGGGCTGGTACTACGTTGTAAAAATTTAAAAGGGAGACAAAAAAGGGATGAAGCGAGAATCTAAGACCGGCCTTGATTGAGTCAAAGTGGACCACTACCATCCCAGGAAAATGACGCATTGGGTGAAGCCCGGCCTGGAATCAGAAATCCACCGAATCCGGGATCATCATCTGAATTTGGGCCCTATTTTGGGCCGTGAGTTTTTGACGCATCAGCCTAATTAGGGCTAGGTCAAGTTTATGGCAGGAAACGCCGCTAGGGGGACCAGCTTCCATGACCTCCATTTCATCCCCAGACTTGGTACCATCGGGATAAGTTCCGGAGGAAGAGACATCACCGTGGGGAACCCCCGCCGGGATAGGAGTGATCTCCAGTGTGGTACTAGGGTTATTCTCAGAGAGATTGACATTTGAGGTAGAGCACTCAGAGGAACGAAGGCGGGTTGCCATACTGATCGAACAAGAAGGATAGAAGAAAAACGCAAAGGCCAGAAAATACCTGAACAAGAACTAAGAAATAGCTCTAGAGAGAAGGATGAGTTCTAAGCCGGAGATGCAAAGTTTCGAAACCCAGAATCAAAACCAGAAGAGCCTACTTATACTCTGTCATGCCGATTCAGCAGCCAATCAGAGGAGGACACGTTTCCTGTAATGATGACGGATACACGTGTCACGCGGGGAATCCTTCTCAAGTAATCATGACGTTTATCGGGGAAGTGAAACGGCAGTTGCAAATAACCGTCAGAATGTACCTCGGGAACCGGCGGAATACCATCCGATACTCGACCGAACAGCATTCGGGCAATAATCTTCTACTTCCTTATGCACTCACTACCGTTCGAGACATAGGAAGTGGGGGACTAGTGTTGGGATATTAGGTCCAGGCCCAATATCCCTATGCCCAAATCCGGGAAGAAGCAGCGGGCCCAAGGCAACCAAAATAATTCCCGGACGGCATTCGGGATAAAACTGCTACTTGGAACATTCCAGGAAACAATTACGCTAAAGTGCCAATGCCCAGATCCCGATCGGTATTCGGGATACTTCTATAACAAAATAATACCTATGGCGAGGCCCCACACACCGAACACCTTGCCCGAACGGGCAGTCAGCAAGTGGAGGCCGCATTTAATGCTGGACCATGGCAGCTACAAGTGGGAGGCGTGGGTGCTTACATGGCAGAAGCAATAGCCTACCAGATTCGACCACGTGTCCGCCTTACCCATCTTCATTTTAGTATAAATACCCATGTTTAGATCATTGTAAAGGGTTAGCTTTTTGATATTCAGAGCTTAGCAATAGATTTACATCTCTTATCCTTGTATTCTCATAATCATCTACCGTTCGGGTAGTTCCAGTGTAATAGCCTAATTATTGAATACCAGTAAGCTCCTGAGTTGAACAATATCTCACTGTTTTATATTTTATACACTTTTCAACCCAACCCAATATCCCTACAATATCCAAGGCTTGTGTTGGGCTTTCGGATCTTCGGGAATAAACCTCAACAATACCTTTTACACTACCCCTATTATTTTCCTTTTAAAACTTGTGCCAAACCCTATAAGGACGTCTAATAGAGAACAGAGGGAGTATTACATAACATTTACAAAAAAAAGATAATTTTAATGTGTTAAATTATTTTTTTAGTTTTATATATTTAATATTGGTCTCATATGAAAGATAATAAAAATGATTAAAGGGTCAGTTTGGTCCTCGAAGTTGCAAAAAAGGGGTCAAATAAGTCCTTATATAGAAGATTCTGTACGGACGTGCCATTTGAGGTGGCTCCCGGTAGAATTTTTTGATGAAATTTTTTGAGCATCTTATTCATTAAGTCTAGTTTACTCATACCAAATTTCAGCTAAAAATTCAATCGGGGAGACATTCAAATGAATTCTTGAAGATAACTGTGCTTTTAACGGCACAGTTATCTTCAAGAATTCATTTGAATGTCTTCCCGATTGAGTTTTTATCTGAAATTTGGTATGAGTAAACTAGACTTAATGAATAAGATGCTCAAAAAATTAAATAAAAAAATTCCACCGGGAGCCACCTCAAATGGCACGTCCGGACAGAATTTTCTATATAAGGACTTATTTGACCCCTTTTTTGCAACTTCGAGGACCAAACTGACCCTTATCCCTAATAAAAAGTTATGAATTTTGGTGTATTTTTTGTAATAATCCGAGCACGAATAAAAAAGTTATATTACATTTAAATAAAATGAGATTTTATTTTTTTGTGGGACCAACCATGTTACGTTATCCTTTTGGTTGCGTGGTACAATGGTACGTGCACATCACTTATGCGTAGATGACTTTTACATAAGCCGCGGTTCTGGGAGCAGTATTTTGGGAAATATTTTTAACTTGACAATATTTTGGGAATTATTTTTTTATTTAACATTATTTTGGGAAAAAACTCTTTCAATTCGTTCTCCCAAACATTTTTTAAGAGATTTTCCAACATTTTATTTTGACCGCATTTAGAAAAACTTCCATTTTGATGTCAGCGACATAAGACCAGTAAATCAAATAGCGTTAGAGTTTTGAAGGTATTAAATCTTTTTTTTTTGTAAAAAGGACACCATTATTTTATAAAAATATCAAATCATTTTTGTCATTCTTCTTTAAAATTATTATTGCTAATTTGCTACCACTAAACTACTTTTATTACTACTACTATTATTATCAGTGCTATTTTTTGAAAGATTATTATCATTGTTATTGTTTTTATTGGTTTTTCTATTATTACAAAAACTAAAAATTCACCACTATTATTACTATTATTGGTGTTGTTATCATCATCGTCATCATCATCACACATTTTTAGAATATTATTTTCAAGAATCAATAAAATTGAAAGACTTAAATACGTTTATAGTTCTTAAGAATATGACACTTCTTGTTTGGCCTTTTCGATGAATATTACTAAATTAAATTCAAAAGACAAAAATATGATTTATTTTAGAATTTTTCAAAAAATGACATATTCAGTGATTAATTCCCAGTGATTCATCATATATCAGTGGCTTGTCGCTATGAAATACACTACACATAACTAGTCATATTTTTATCCAAAAACATAACTAGACACATTTTTATCCAGGAAAATTCTGTTAGTAATATACATGTCATGATTTTTTTCTTCTTGTTTTAGATCCCTGCATTTTTTGTTTGTTTTTCGTCTATGTACTATACACTATTTTCGTTTTAGTCTCTATCTAAATCCGGGACAATCTCAATTTAAAAATACCTCAATTTATATAAAGTTTGAGGTATTTAAATTACACATGTAAGTGTGGGGTGTTCATCTCACATTCCTTCAAAGTTTGAGGTATTTTAATTATTTTTTCCTTAAAGAAAATATCGATTGCACAAATCTACTCTAAATTTATAACCTCGTCCTTTTATTACTTCCTCCAGACTAATATTGGAGGTAAAATGAAGCAAAACTAATTATTCACGTTTTTCTAAAATACAAGTAGATTTTAGCTAGCGGCTCTTTAGAAAATAAAATTGTGTGTGTTTTGGAATGAGATGATAAAAGAAAAGATAAAAAGTACGGAGTACTTCGTTATTAGTCGGGATAATTTCATTGTCCAACATAGGATAGACAGATAGTAATAATGGACTAAAAAGAAACATTATACTCCGTAGGTAGAAAAAAAATATTGCAGGGACATGAAACATAAAAAATTATATTTGCAGGCAATAAAAGTACATTTAAACCAAATTAAACGCATAAACGGTTTGAGTCCACCAAACTGTTTTGGATCAATAAGTACAATGTTGTAAAATCGATCTTTTTGGTACAATAAGTGTGAATGGCTAATCATCTTAATCGTAAATAAAAGTCTTGTCATCACAATCATTGATGGACAAATGAATAATTTATCATTGTCACCAAATTTGTAAGAGTATAAGTGAGAATTCACCACTAAATCCAATACATTTCTGTTGAGTTTTTTGAAAAAATCAGTACAAGGAGTAAGAAGAGTATTCAAATATTATTTTATATCTTGTTTTTCTTTACACATATGCAATCAAATTTGTTATATATTACTCTGATATTACAACATGTAAAGAAATAAAGAATAACTCGAGTGGAAAGACATGTACTATCATCAGTTCATTATTCAACACATATGGAGTGTGAAGTTTCAAACTAGCCATCAGAAACCTGGTGTGTACATGTGAATAATTAGTAAAACCAAGACTGGCACAATGGCATATAAAAACTATTGAATGAGTAGGCATTGCATATTATATTTATATAGTAATACAAAAGGGAGTTTTGTCAATAACATTCAACAAAAGTTGGTTGCAACCTAAAAGTGTCCTTAACAACAAAGGTGTCGGGTAAGCGCTACTACAGTAAAGACAATGATGGGGGGGACTATCGATTCTGCATGCAAGAAATGGGAAATCCTTTCATATCAAACAGAGCCGTGAAGTGTGTACGACCCTACTCTACGTCTCTACCACTTTACAAATTGATGGCCAAAAGCAATGCAATTATCTTATAGCTAAGCATATTCTAGGAGTCATAACTCTGAGTATGCCCCTTCAGTTAGTTTTGGCACCATTTTCTGTTCCTTCTCCCTCGACGTTGTTCACCAAATTATTCTGGTCTTCCATGGCACGAACCTGCTGTGGCAGTTCATTTCCCCCCTCTCCTGCTTTATGCAGCTTGCCACCAACAGCGCTAGCCAGATTGTCAGCTTCACGTGCATCATCATGATTCTCCGTAGCCTGGTCATCTTCCTTGAAATGCTCACCGTCTTTCTTCTCATGTTCAACATTGCCAGCCATTTTGACATCTTCCCCAACATTGGTTTGTTCACCACGAGCAATTGCTGCCTTCTCATTGGCAGTAAGGGCTTCATGTTTGTTTTCATCTTCATTCTCCTTTATCAGATCCATCTCCTCCTTGGTATCATTTTCAGGACCCCTACCTGTAGAATCATTCTCAGCACTTTCTGCTTCTTTGCCTAGGGCACCCTTATTTTCAGTATTCTCAGTGTCTTCTGCCATTTTGACATCTTCCCCAACATTGGTTTGTTCAGAAGGAGCAATATCTTCCTTATCATCAGCAGTTAGGGTTTCATGCCTCTTTTCATCTTCATTCTCAGCTTTTTCTTCTTTGTTCTCTTGTGCAATTTTGACATCGTCCTCGAAATAGGTTTGCTGAGCGTTTTCTGCCTTATCATCAGCAGTTAAGGTTTCATGCATCTTTTTGTCTTCACTGTCCTCCATCTTGGACTCCTGGATGTCATCATCCTTATCCTCAGCATCTTTTTCAGGATCCCCAGCTGCAGAATCAATATCAGTCTTTTCTGCTTCATTCTCTTGGGCATCCTCCTTCGAAGTTAATGACAATCTGCCTCGTTTGGTAGGCCTTTTTCTTTCAGGTGAGGACGGTGGAGAAGCCTTTGCCTTGACACTGATCCTTGCCGATCGCCTAGGGGTTTCACTAGCCCCCCAGTGAAAGTCTGACAGTTCAGGACCGCCAGGGTTTGACTTCAGATACTGTCGCAGCTGTGTTTTGCTAGTCAACTCTTCCCCTGTTGGAGCTGTAAACATCACCTCATGTTTTCTTTTCCTCTTCCCTGCTGCTTGGGGGATAAGCTGCAAAGAGAGGAAAAAGTAATATTAAAAAAAGCAGCATGAAAGGACATAATTCAATTTACTGGAATTAGCAACAAGTTCCTAACTGCTTACAAGACACCCTTTAATAGTGTTATAGGACACGAAATTCTTAAATAACACAAACAATCATGATCAGAACATTATCACCGATGAATGGTTTTACATCATGTTCCATATCACATAGAACAGATGCATACTTCAAATGAGGAAGAGAAAACTAAAGTAGACATGACTTTGATGTAACCTTTAAATCAACATCATATGCTTCAGAAAGCCTAATTAAAATGTACCCAATTTTTGCTAAAAAGTAACAAAGGCATTACAGCCAGTCATAGTCTAAATTTGCCTTGAAAGATGCAGCGGCTAATAAGAAAAAAATGAAGTAAATCGAAAAGAATAATGTTATGTATGAGATCTATGCCTCAAATCACTTGCTTGTCTTCAAGGCCTAATAAGTAAAAGTAGCCAGCAGACCTCTAATAGAGTAGACCGCTAGTAGAGTAATAGTTCCCCATGAACTTGGGGCATGAACTGAAAGATGTGGTATGCTTTTTTGCAACTCTGAATCGCAACATGAATAAAAACAAATAACTACGAGTATGACTGAAACAAAAATATGAGTTCTAAGGCACAGTGACCATTGTGTTTTTTCGCAATCACTGTGGTTGATCAAGTAGTCAATTATACAGTGCAGCGACAGTTGTGGTATTTTCACAATGACTATAGTGATCATTTAGTCACTTTGGTCCATGAATTTTATTTTAGCAATATTTTAGGAAAACCCCTATTCAAAATCACACTCTCCTCAATGATTTTGCTTGTGGGGGGAGGTGACATAAAAACTCACCATAAACATAATGTATCAGGATATTAATTAATAAATTCCCTATCCAGCACATATATTAATCAATTATCATAACAGTATAACAGTAAATTCCCTATATACTCTTCCTAGTGGTACTACTCAATAAAAACTCTAGTTGATTATAAAAACTCAATAACCCAAGCACAAACTCTAGTTTCTTGTAAAACATCCTAAATCAACTTCTGTACTGTGGGTCACGAGCAGTATATGCACAAACTAATTGTAGACAAAAGGTGAGATAACTCCACTACTTGCTCTTGGCTGTCCAGCACATCAGACTCCGCTCATCGTTGAAAAGGATGGAAACACATCTGAATGGTGTCATTTACTCCAACATTGCATTTATGCAAATGAGGAGTGAACCCAAGTAGGTTGTATACTAGCATAAAAAATATTTTGAACAAGGAGATTGTCTCACTCAGACCATACTTGAATATGCAAATTAAAATTTATAATAGGAGTACAAAATTAGACATACTTGAAATGTACTGGGAATTCTTGTACATATATAAAAAATAATAATAGAGCAAAAACCAAAAAAAGAATAAACAAATAAAACAAAATCTGAATTTTTTGAAAGTAAAACACATCTTGAACAAAAATTAAAAGTGACCAGAACTTCAATCAGTTTGAGAACTGCAGAACAAAATCAAACACCCTTTTTGTGACCTACTTATAACATAAAAACCCGCAGGAAACATTCCATTCTTGCGTAAATTATGAAAGCTCCAATCTACATTTCATACTACTAGATACCTCAGCCCTCTTCATAAACCCTATTTTCAAAAATCAAACCACCTAAAGATAGCAAAATTCAAATACAAATCACATACTTACATAAAATTGAGCACCAAGAAAGAGCAAGTCATGACAACAGAATAGAATCGAAGTTCCAAGAACAAAGAATCCAGAACCCCAAAGACTTGGAGCTTCTGAAGCAATTGAGTTTAGGAAGAATCAATTACACCGAAATACTTAACACCCATAGTCGTTTCATCACATATATCTAAGAAATTCAAGTTAATAGAACAGAAGACTTGCCATAAAGAAGACTGACAAGAAAATCAACGCCCAAAACGGAAAAAGAAGAAGAAGAGGACTTCAATGGAGAGAGGAAAGTGGGGGGTACCGTTTTTTTCCAGCCAGGAGGAGCAGGGAGTTCCAAGGGCGCCACTTCGTTCTTCTCCGCGGAGGTAGACATTTTGTTTCTCCCAACTAACCAGTAGTTCTGAAGCTCGACCTTCTTCTATCTTCTTATGGAAAGAAACTCAACGAACCAGCCAACCGACTTATTTATTACTCCGTAATCCGTATTTTTTTTTACTAATTTACTTGCAAGAAAATGGACTTCGTATTTTACGGAGTATTTTTTTACTCCAGGATTACGGCATCTAGTAGTCTAGTACATGTCACGTGAGAAGAATAAACAAAACATATACGAGTAAGTAAAAGTATTTTAAGTTAAAAAAAAGTATTTTAAGAAAAAGTTGTAATGTACATTAAAAAGTTGGGAAAAAGGTGCAAATATGCCCATATACTAACAAAAAAAGGTCAAATAAGCCCTTATTTAGAAGGCTCTGTCCGGCCGTCTCCATTTGGGGTGGTTCCCGGTGGAATTTTTTGATGAAATTTTTTGAGCATCTTATTCATTAAGTCTAATTTACTCATATTAAATTTCAGCTAAAACTTCAATCGGGAAGGCATTCAAATGAATTCTTGAAAATAACTGCGCAATTAGAAACACAGTTATCTTCATGAATTCATTTGAATGCCTTCCTGATTGAAGTTTTAGCTGAAATTTTGTGTGCGTAAACTAGACTTGATGAATAAGATGCTCAAAAAATTTCATCAACAAATTCCACCGGGAACCACCCCAAATGACGACGACCGGACAGAGCTTCCTAAATAAGGGTTTATTTGACCTTTTTTTATTAGTACATGGGCCTATTTGTACCTTTTCCCTAAAAAGTTGTATTGAAGTTTCTAAATTATCTTTAATATTGTACCTTTTTTTTTTAAGAAAATAGAGAAGATACCATAAACAAAGGAAATTAGAGAAGACGACTTTTTACATTCAAATCTGGAAAAGATAAACATTTTTTTGGAAGCGGAAAAGATTAACATTGAAAATTGTTGTAAATTTTTTGTCAATAGAAAAAATTGGACTTCTAATTTGGACACCTCAAACATGAAAAAATGATACCTTTATTTTGGACGGAGGTGAAAATTTTCTCTCTTACACCACTCTTGTATAGGATTAACAAGTGTTGCTATTGACATTGGGGTAAAACTGTAAAAGTAAAAAAAAATTATAAAATTGATGTTAGAAAGAGAGACACTCCATATTTTTTATTTTTTATTGTTATTGCCTATATGTACTTATGTCTCTCATATTGATCAAACGAGTATTGTACACATGATTATAAGATAGTTAGAATTTAATCATATTTATAACAAGTCCACATATATAAGAAATAAGACAGTTAGAATTTAATTATATTTATAACAAGTCCACATGTATAAGAAATTTATATTCTACTAATCGCATGTTTTAAAATTCAATCTTACAAATTTTGATTATGTAACAATGATGGTGAAAGAATATGTGTCCAGAAACTCTTTTTTTTTTTTCTTCAAAATTTAACAACTAATTCATAAATCAAAATGTTAGGAAATGCCATCTTCTCAAAAAGTTGGAGCACATTTTCAATAAATTAGTGTTGAGGCAATATCTATATCAATAAATTTAAGGAAAAATTGAAAATAATAATCCCAACTATTGCTGGTCCGCTAAAAATAATTCCAACTAATGATTATTTTTGTATAATCCTAACTATATAGACTATACGCCAATAATGGTCCATGACCATATTTTACCTCTATAAAAAGTGAATTTTAAATAGAAATTAAGCGTAAAAATTAAAAGTTGAGATTATTTATAGGGATTACTTGTTATATCTCATCTCATCCACTTTAGAAACTACAAGAATTTATTCATAGGGACCATTATTTGCGGAAAGTCCCTAAAGTTGGGATTATTCTGTAATAATCAATAGTTGGGATTATTATGAGCGGACCGCCAATAGTTGAGATTATTGTTATCAATTTTTCCTAAATTTAAGTGGGCTACTTTTGTTAATGTATTGAATAAATTTTATATTTGACACCCACATTCAAAGTGCTTGAATTTATTGTTTAATATTTCTCAAAAGTAACTTCTGAAATATTAATGCTTACAGTTTGTCACGTGATTAAAAAATGAGATATAAGGCTGTCCGCAATCGTCCGCAATGGTAGGGGTGAAAAACCCCAAATCAGAGGTTTCCACTCCCAAATGAGCTGCAACCCAACCAATTTTTTGTATCGGAAAGTCTCATAGTGGATTTGGAGCACGGATGGAGTCCGAAGGTAAGACCCTCATTCACCCCAGGAGAGAGGCAACTTACGCATGGTTGGCAGGCGGAAGAAGATAAGAGATGCTAGGGCCCATTTGAAATAAATTCCACAATATGTTTTAAAATGTTATAACTTTTTCATTTATATTATAATTTTTATGAAAAATATATCAAAATTCTTGATTTTTTATGTTCTTTCATATGACATCACTAATGTATACTCCCTCCGTAACTTTAAAATCTTCCCATTTGAAAAGTAGGTAGATTAAGAATAGTGAAAGAGAATATGAATTATTGAGGGTATTATAGGAAAATAGTGGAATAAGGTGATGGAATGTAGGATAAATCCAAAAAAAGTAGTTGTAATAGTGTATTATTTTCAGAATTATTGAGGGTATGATGGGAAGATTTAGAAATGGGAAGATTTTTTTGTTACGGACGAAAAAGGAAAGTGGGAAGATTTTAAAGTTACGGAGGGAGTATATAAAATTCTAAAAAAAATTAAAGTGTTTTATCAGTTGCATATTTTTAGATTTAATTTTTTCAGAAGTAAATTGAAGCGCTAAAATTATAATCTCATGGTTAAAATATTTTTATGTACATCTCTAAGTTACTTTTTTTAAAGATAGATCTGAAGTAACAAAAAAATTACACTCCGAATTCTTTTATTTTTACATTGAAATGTTTGACTTTTAAATCATTATTATTGGTACGATAAAAAAAATCATTATTATTGGTATAAAAACAATTATCGCATAAATGATGTGCAATAAAAAAACAAAGGATTTATGCATTTAATTACAAAAAAATATGTTCTGAGTGAATATATTAACGGTGCTGGGTTGCAGAAAAAAATTGAATTGACTGAGTGAATACGTATAAACTGGATGGGGTATTAGATTTATTGACATGCAGGGTTGCGGTTAGCTAAGAGTTAAAATTAGAAAGGAAAATGCTATGTGTACACAACATTGTACACACCACCCTACACATCACAAAAAGACTCACCCCCTCTTTCTAACCCACCCCACTTTTGAATTAATCCACCTCACTCCCTTTCTCTCCCCTTTATTCCCAAACGAAAATTTCTGTGCAGATAACAAATTGTCTGTCCAATTTTTTCATTTGTTTGTCATCCCTTATCTCTCTCAACGAGCGGCAGGAAGCGAGTAAGACGTATGGAGGCGGCGGCGACGACGACGAACTTGGCCTGGGCTGGAATCAAGGGAGGATATATTCGGGCCGAGTCCCGGGGACACGCCATCTGCGATGGAAGCTTTCTCCCTGCCCTTTCTATGCGGTAAGCTCTCCTTCTCCCTTTCTTTATTTTCTTTTCATTCTTCTGCAACAACTCCTCTCTTTTTTCCTCTTTTTTTTCATTCTTCTCCAACTCCACATCCATTCAATTTTTATTCAACTATACTTTTTCATTTTTATGCCTCTAAGATGTTTGTTGAAATGCTCAAATGAACTCTTTTATTTATAACCATGATTTTTTTGTATTCTTTCCTTTTTTCTAAAAATATATTTGTATGCTTGATGGGTTTGTGCCTATAAGGTGTTTGTTGAAATGTTTCAATGAAATATTTCATTCATATCCATGAATTTTTTGTGTTTTTCTCTTTTTTTTTGTTAATGTGTTTGTGTTTGATATTGGTTTAACTGTTTTTGACTATTTAATTGAATATTATGATTCTTTGTTTGTTATTAAGATACTAGTCTACTAAGTGTTGTTAATATTTTCCAGAGATGTCTGTGTAGTGTGTTCTTATATGTTTGTCCATTTTTTAGTTGTCTATATAGTTTTCCTGAAATGTCTGTGTAGTTTGTTGTTATACGTTTGTGGATTTTCTAGTTGTTTTTATGGTTTTCCGGAGATGTTTGTATAGTGTGTTGTTATATGTTTGTGCATTTATTAGTTGTCTATATAGTTTTCCTGAAATGTCTGTGTAGTTTGTTGTTATACGTTTGTGCTTTTTTTACATTTTGCATAGAAAATTGAAATTCTTTTTCTGAGTTTTTTTATGTATGTACTCCAACTGATATCTTCACCTTTTATTGAAAGTAACTGCAGGAACAACATTTTAGGGGTGGATTTGGACCATAACCAAATAGAAGAAACACATGAAGAATTATAACTCAAACATAAAGAGAGAAATTGCATGCTATGGTTCTGCCAATGGTGTATTACTCTTGTTGATGCGTTTTTGAGAAGTTGGAGCAGTGACGTTCAGTTACCATATTTGTGATTTAGTATTCAATTTCTCATATAGTTAATGATACAAATGTAATTATACAGTCGCATATCAGTACTCTAAGTGTATTTGCAAAGATAAGCTTTGACCAAGTGTTTGTGTACAGATAATATTTATACAAGTTAAATTTTGACTGTACATAAATAATTTTTATACAAATTTTGTCTCTGTACTAACAATTTCTATATAAGTTTTGTCTGTGTACAAACAATAATTATTGTTTATGTGTTTATTTATTTTGTTTGTGTGTGATTGAATTATTATTTATTTTGTCTATGTGTGGTTGAATTATTATTTATTTTGTCTGTGCATAGTAAATAATTGTTTGTATGTGCATATTTAATCATTGTTTGTATGTAATTTATATTGTCTGTGACCAGACAATAGTTGATTGTAACAAAAAAAAAATCCTTGTGTGCTCAAGCATAAATATTGTCTAGACACAAACAATATGACCTGCATATTAAAAATCAAAATTGGTAATATTAAATCAAAATCAATTGACTTGTTCTTTGCACAAACAACCATCTTGGACATGTATTGTTTATGAAATTTCACCCGCCTAATTTAATACATTTAACATCGGTAAAGATATAAGAAGCCAACATTTATATACCACATAGACGTTTTCTGTAACGAATCACATATTTTAATTATAAACAGTTACCAATATTACAACACAACATTACTCATTTTCAAAGCTAAACATACACCACCATTTGAACTC